CGTCTCGGTTTCCAATGCAAACTCTCCCAAAAAGGTTGGGTACCAGCATCGCCCTTTGCAGGGAAGCAGAGATGGGGCTGGTGGCCGCGGTTTGGGAGCCAGTAGCATCCCTGAGGTTTTGCTGGGAGCGATACCAGCCCACAGCTCAGCTATTTATTTGGCTGCTTAATCTCAAAATTATTTAGGCACCGGTTCAATGCAATAAACAGCAACAACAGAAAGTCACCGGCGGGGCCTGCCCCAAAGCAGTGTCCCAGGGGACATGCCAGGAGGTTGTTTTTAGCTGAAAATAACTTCATTTGGGCTTAACCAGCTGCAGCCAGAGTGAACACCAGGCCCTGGGCCACGCTTTAGAAACCAGCAGGAAGAAATTCCAGCCTGGAATGCTGCGAGGAGCCACGCCAGGAGCTGCTTCAGGGCTGGGGGGCTTTTGTTTTCATTTTCCCCCTTCATCTTTCTGGCTGGGGCTCAGCTCAACCTCGGGAAGCGGCTGCAACCCAACGTGGCAAATGGTGGGGGATGAGAGAAGACCCTGCCTGCAATGTGTCCTGCCTGGACCAGGTACCCACGCCAGCATCTTCCTGCCCAACCCAGCAGCATCCCCCGGGGGAGGCATTTCTGAGCCACATAGGGATCATATCAAAACACAAAGCTGCTTTATTAATTAATCTGGTGAGGTGAGAAGACCCCTGCTCTTGGGAGAGCATCGGCTGCGCGTCCCTCACCTTCAGCTCTGCCTGCTGACACGGTTTCAAGGGTGTGTGGGGGATTTTAACAGTGCTGCCTTCAACGGCTTGTCCTGCCGTGGGTGCTCTCGCCCCCACGCATGCTGGGGATAACACTGGGTAAGGAGGGATCTGGGTTAACAAGAAATATTTAAAAATAAAGAAAAAAAAAATCCCCCCTGGATCCCTCTGTTGACCCCGCTTGGCTGCAGAGCTGTGAAGTTAAAGCATCCTGGAAGCAGTGGAGATCTCATGCTGTGCAGCTTGTGAAGGCTGGTGCTGGGCGGTATCTTCTCATCCTGCCCAGGAACTGGCTCTATAAACTCTGGATTAAATACTCGGACATTCCAACCCACCGGCATATCCTCACCCCTGGAGGTGCCTGCCGCAGGAGGAGATTCCTACCAAGAAAAGGGGGATTTCACCTAAAAAACCAGCAAAAGAAGAGTGGGGGTTGTCCCCAGCGCTGACCAGGACCGACCATGGGCTGTCCCTTGGGCCACCGCAGCAGAGGATGGAGGCAGGAGACGCAAGGGGCCCCGCTAACTGCAATTACCCCCGCACCACCAAGGGACCTCAAGGCTGGCACATGGTTATGGGACAGATGTAGTTTGGGCCGAAAATGGACAAAATGTGGGAAACAGGTTGAAGGAAACCACTTGCTGTGAGGGGGGGAGAGGCCCCGGGGAAGGTGCAGACCACCATGCCCAGAGCCACCCCAGCCATGGCCGGTGGGGCTCCAGGCTTGCTGTGGGGACACCTCCATCCCCAGGGGAGGTGCTGGAGGGGGGGTTAAAAACAGCCCTTTGACCACCTCTTTAACTGGGCGCCTACATGGAGCTGGATCAAGGACTGGGCAGCTCAAACGGGGCAGGGGCAGAGCTGGCCCAAGAAACATCCCCCAAAGGCGCAAGAAGGGGGGGCACAGACAGAAGGGCTGGCGCAGCTGTACCAAAAAGCAGCAGATCCCAATTGCAAAGGATCCAGACCCCAACCCCCGAGCACAGACGGCCCCGCTCGGCCAGATCGGCCGCAGCTGGGGGATGATGGCTCCCACCTGATGCTGCTCAGCCTGCCCGGTCCCACCAAGCTGCCAGCCCTCACGCTGGTTTGTAGCCCTTCCTCGTCTCCTTCCTCCTCCTCTTGCTGCAGCAAGGGAGGCCACAGCCATGAGTCTGCCTGGCCGGTAAGTCCTTCCTCAAGATTTAAAGTCTCTGCGAAGGAAAGCACTCTGCTAGGGGCCACGCACTTGTAGTACAGCCAGGGAATGCAAATGTTGGTGCA